TCGGTATCGGAGTCACTAGCATAATTTTCTGAGGTGCTGCTGCTGTCACTACTAGACATCTCTCGGTTATCCATCATCTCAGAGTCGATTGGTTATCGATTGGAACATCTCCCTCAGCGCAACCGGTTGGTTCGTCAACCACTCGAATATATTTGCCATCATTCGCCATTTTGTTTTCGTTTTAAATACCTTGTATTATTCTTAAATGACAAGCGCAAACATTCAAATTAGCGTGTGGTTGTTCTAAGTCGTAATTCTAGGCTTCGCTCTTGGGTCCACACGATCATAAAGGCCCAAACACAATTTGGACGGAAGCGGAACGGAAAGTTGTCACAAATGACATCAAGATGCCTAACCGAAGTCGATTTGGTTTCAACAAGTTTTCAATCCGACAAGTTGCCTTACTCAGATCGGGCTTTTCCGCTGCCGTTGCCGTTCCGCTTCCGCTGTCATTGCGCTTGGGCCTTAAGATTCACTGCGCGATTTTTTTTCCATCCGCTCTATTAATGCGCGACGATTTTGATTCACTCTTGAATGCGCGATCGTAAGATCCGCTGATAGAAACTGGCCATTATTTCATCAATGCGCGACGGCTTTTCCGGCTTCTAATCGAGGTTCTGATTTTCCGTTGCAGCAAAGGTGGGTTGTTGCAACTCCTGGCAGGATCGCCATTGTGAATAACCGACCATCAGCAGGAAAGGAGGTCTTACCTCCACGGTGGTTGTTGATTGAGAGTAACGAGAATGCAGTGTCCAGTTCGTTGTCCCTAACAACGCTGGCTACACTCAAAGATACATTAAATCAAAAAAGCTTAAAAAGTATGCAAATTCCCGCTTTACCTTATTGAGTCCGAGCCATGATTACTTCGGAAGTAGTCATGCATGATTAAAATCCAAATAATCTTTCCAGTATTAAATTTTATTCATTTTCAATAGTGATATTTAATCAAAAAAGATTAAAATTCAATCAAGAATTATTAAAATAAAATCAAAAATCATTAAAATTTATTCAAAAAGAGGTAATCTACAATCTAATCCACCATGATTAAACTGAGATTAATATCAGATGCTTATTTTTTAAAAAGAGAGGAATAATTTTTTATCATCTGATATGATTAAACTAAGTTTGATGTCAAATTAATTAAATTTCAAGCAAAATGGGAATAGTTCAATTTATCAGTGTACGAGTCCCTGAGATAGTGCTGAATGTTCAGCACACTTCACTAAGAAGCATTGGGCGTTCTTTGCACCCACACAATTTTCTTTCTCACCTACACTGATAAATTGAACTATTCCCATTTTGCTTGAAATTTAATCAATTTGACATTAAACTCAGTTTAACCAACAATCAATACGAAACTAACGATTTTAAATTGGCTCACCACTTTAGTAGCCTATTGGTCCCAAGCAAACGATTAACGTACCCTATTCTAGTTTAAATTCTATTACTACACTATGTTTGTTTTGATTCGCTATGAAAGTTTGACAGATAACCTCAGGGGTGTGTGGATTCATGCAGAACATGCAGGGGTGAGTGAAATAGCTTGGGACTGCTTGGGACCGTTGTTCTGGTACTGAGTGAGCCAAAAATAATGATTTTCTTCGGGACCCAGTGGTCTTAGAGTTACCTCTATGGTTTAACCATATCGAATGATTAAAAATTAATCCTCTCTTTCTAAAAAATAAGCATCTGATATTAATCCCAGTTAAATCATGATTGATTAGATTGTAGATTATCTTTTTTTTTGATAAATTTTAATCATTTTTGATTATATGATTATATTTTAATAAATTTTGATTGAATTTTAATCTTTTTTATCTATATATCAGTATTGAAAAAGAATAACCTTTTTGACAGTTCAGTGGTACTGTTTACAAGCACTTAGTCGTTTTTTCGAAAAAAATATATTTTAAAATTTCCGAATTTTAACTTGAAAATTGTCGAGGACATGCGTGGTGAAAGAATGTGGCTCGTGGACATTGTAAAAGTGTGGTTTACATCGCACTGCAATCTGAAAAATTATCCAGAAAATCTACCCAAGAAAAAATCGACTAAGTCCACGTAAACAGTACCAGTGAACTGTCATCAGATTGAGGTTAACCCCGACGGTGCAAAACCTAATATTGATCTCCCAGAGTTGATAATACACAGCAAAAAAAAAAAGTAATATCAATCAACGTAATTCAAGCTGATGTATGAAATAATGATGTAATAGCAAAAAGCAGATACAATATTACATCAATGGATGTAATTTTGTTCGCAAAATCGATGTACATCGTACAATGTGATATTACACAACCGATGGATTGACCTGGTTGCAGCAGTTTGGATGTAATATTCAACAACTTTTTTTGCTGTGTAGAAGAGTTATGCAGAGTGAAGCTTGCAACACTGATGTCGATCAATGGGTATTTTTTTTTTATTTTGGCAACCTTTGTTTTTGTTTATACCTCGGATGATTTCACCGGGTTGTGAAAGTTTCCTCTGTTTTCGTGATTTGTGCAAACGAAGTAAAAATGAAGTGTTTAGTTTCGTCCTGCAAAAACAAACAAGACAAAAAGCATCCGCTCAAAAGTTTGAGCTTTTTTCGGTTCCCGCGTAACCCACAGTTCAGGGCAAAGTGGATTTCTATTTGCCAGTTGCCACCGGATTGGGAAGTAACCGACAATTGTCGAATATGTAGTGTAAGTTGAGATGAAAAAAAAAAATGAATAACAAATGCGTAAATATAATTTTGAATACTTCAGTTACACTTCAACTATGGGGCTGATCAATATCTTTCTACTGAGGGCGGAAGGCTGCAGACTTTACCAGATAATGTGGCTAGTCTTGTGCAGAGAAATGACAAGATTGCATCAACATTAATTACGTTCATGAAATCAGTAAAGACTGATATTTTTGAAGAACAATGCCACGATATTCGGAATAAGATAATTGATCGCTTTGTTACATTTCGACTACGAATCTGTCAACCATACAAGTTTCGGTCAAACAAACACAATAGCCGTTCGATGGTAGTTTAACGTTTATGTCCATTTTAAAGTGCTATTCATCCGAGTTATAGGCTGTATTGTTCCAACTTCATCCATTGCAATTCTATCGAATCAGATTTATCTTTAAAAATGTATCTGAGAAGATGTAACGCGCAGAAAAAACTATCATCGAAATAAAAATTCGACAGTGAGCATGCATAAGGGCCTATACGCGAAGATCGATTCTCTTCGTCGATTTTCTCTTTTGTTAATAACTCGCTAGATTTAACGTTTCTAGGTGCGTTTGCTGTTGCTTTTGATAGCCAATACAACCTGTTACTACTCTGCATTGAACAAATTCTAGAAAATTGTTTCGCATAGCTGTAGCAATGCAAAGAGAAAGTCGATGAAGAGAATCGATCATCGCGTATTCGCCCTTATGAATGCTCACTGTCGAATTGTTGTTCTAAATTTTCTCCACAATATATCGTAATTATTTTCACACGTTAACAATACTTCCCATCCAACAGAGTCAGCTTGTCTACTATGCTCGATAGCTAGCCGGTTTGACAGTTCGATTGGTAGATTTTGGTTTCAGTCTGCGTAACTCTTCTATTATCAACTCTGGATTCTCCTAGGAATTAACTTGAAACCCTTGGATTTATCCTCAGACCTTTTTTTTTAGAATTGTCCGCAGGCATTCCTTTGAATTCACTCATTTTGTAAGTCAAAAATGGTTCTGGATTGTCTGTGGGAATTTCCCTTAAATTTCTCCGGAAATTCTGAACCCAATGTTGCAATTTTCCAGGAATATCTACGGAGATTTCACAAAAATTTCTTCGAGATTTTCCATCAAGTGCTCCAGAAGGCTCCCAGCAGTGTCTGTTTTTATCATTTACCATCACACGCAAAGAGTAGCGCTTCAACCCAGTGTAGATGAATTGCGTTTATTTTGAAAATCTTTGCTGTCACATACGAGCAAAACGAATATTTTGAATATTGTCGAACGTAGAGTTTAATACCTCGATATTATCATCAATTCAGCATGAGGCAATATTTTTCCATCGATTTGTGTGTCAAAATCAACACAGCCCGTTCCACAGCGCTATATTTGTGTAAAGTGAAAATAATAATTTTGCAATTGATCCTCAAAATAATCCTCACCAAGATGAAGACGAATGTTAATATTGACAACAACACAGGCGATAATGAAGATCTCGCAACGAATGCACAAACACAAATGTTGACTTCCATACTCAGAGCTTGCCTTGATCAAAAGAATGTTGTTATGTCAAAATTCAAATTCATGCAGGTAGTTGGTCTATCTGTTAAGGTTGTCTTCATTTTCAGCTAAGTTTAGCGGAGAAGGAATGATTTTTATCAGCACTGGTTTCCATTACTTCTTGCGGGTAGTTCCCAGCATATCCTTAGGATATTATTTTTAGATCTTTTGAAAAAAAAATCTCTTACGAATTTCCTAAAAAAAAAGCCTCGGGCATTGCTCTGAAATGTCTCTGAAATTCCTTCATAAATTTCCACATAGCTCAATTTTCCGAAAACTTATCAAGAATTTCTTTGAATATGGGCTGTGGGAATTTTCTTAAAATGTTGTTGATAGTTTGGGTTGTTGTCTGTTTTGAATATCTTTTCGTCCTTTCAGTTTGTCTTGTCTAACCTATCTATCTTTCTGCCGTTCAAGCAGTAAACTAGTCAGTAATTGAAACATATGGTACCATAGCAAGCTGTAATGTAGCTCTCGATCAAAAATCAATTTTCTTCTTCGGAAATGGTATTTCCCAAAATGCACATTACTTATATTCCACCGACCGCAACACGCTGCAGGGGAAATTACAACCAGGGAGCACGTTCTCCAATTTCTTCACTCCTGTCTCGACCCACCGTAGCGCAAAAGAGGCGAACACTGGTAAAGTGCTTTTAACTTTGACAGGCAGCACTCTCTCGAAAGAAGAAAAAAAAAGGCACCACCAACGTGTCACCACTATAGGTGCATATTTCCAGTAAACTCACCTTACGATTCTCGACCGGCATGCTAGACGTTCGCATCCGTTGCCTGGACGAGTCGCTTGGCCCCGGTCCACCACCTCCGGCACCGACACCGGATGGCACCGGTGTCCTGCTGCCATCCCGTCCGCCACACACAATGGCCGTGGTGCTGATGCTGACGGTACGATGCGCCGAGGGGTGCCCCAACGGATTATGATGATGATACGTTTGCTGCTGCTGCTGTTGCTGTTGCTGTAGATTGCTGAAATTGCCGTCGTTTTCCTCGTTCTGAAAGCGTCCCGATTTACTATGGGGAGGCGCTGAAGTGGAACCATCGCCTCCGGCACCACCGCCATGTTTCAGTCGCGAAGTGGACGGTGACGATGATAGATTGCTACCGACGACTACGGCGCCATCTTTCGTCATTGTGCAAAAGTTGAAGTTGAGCTGCTGCTGGTGCAGCAGTTTGGAGTTGTTGCCATTATTGTTCCCATTATTGGTGGGGGTATTGTCGAACAGTTCAACCAGCGAAGCTTCGTTCGGATCTGTCAAGCTGGATGCCAAAGGAGCATGGTTGCCGCCTTCTGCGGTGCTGGTACTCACACCACTGACGCTTTCGACCAGCGTGGACATGGTGGACGTTGACGATGCCAGAGTGCTCCCCTTGACGCTCGCAGTAAGCGGCGGAAACTTGTCACGTGGTTCGAATCTGAAAAAAAAGAAGAAAATATTCGAAAGGTTGTGTTGAGAAAGTGAACAAGTTCCAGTTCAGTGTACAGGATACGTTTTCAGAAAATCAATATCTCTATTAGGAATTAAGGGAATTATACTTTGATGAATGACATCGTTTCGTGCTTCAAATTGAAACATCATGTAAATGGCTAGCTGCTACGAAGCTTGATCCGAAAAAACCACCTCCACTTTCAAGATTTGTAACTGCTGGATAGAAAATGAATCCACCGTAAAGGCGAATTGAGTGAGCTGCTCTAGCATGCTTTAAAAGGATAGTCTTGCCTTTGTAAGGTTGTAAAACACGTAGGAGGTGCGGCATATCACGAAGATGATCCGGCTGAAGAGTGGGAAACTTAAAAAGGGACACGTAGCCAACCTCAAACGATATCCTATATGCAAACACAGAAGGAGAAGGATATAGACTATAGGATAGGTTTCGGCTCCATTTATCCTCTCGAAGACTTTGGCGTTCGCTCGTGAACTGACTGAAGGTGGGGAGCGAACGTACACCGACAGCAGCTGTGTTTGACCCTGTTTGAGATGCGAGGCGGAGAGGAACAAACGTCTTAGGTTTTACTCCTTTCACTTCTTCCTGCTGTTCCCCCTCTAGCACCAAGACCGATCCAAAGAAAGCAAAATGGAGTGAAAATGAAGTGGAAAATTGTTCACAGTTGGAAGCGAATCGAACACATGTGAACAGAGTAAGAAGCGATCAAAGCTTTGTCGGGTGCGTTGGTTTCTATTTAAGAATAGGGAAAATTCGAAGGAAAATGGTTAATTTCCATTTGGCTTGAGGCAGTAGGAAGCGTTAGGGTTAAAGTTAAAGCTTGTTTAAAAACTATGGCATACATTAGAATTGCTAGAGTTAGAGATGCCAGACTTGCAAATGCCAGATGGATGGAATTCATAGATTTAGTCACACTTTAACATAAGAAAAAAAATTTCCAACAGAACAAAGCTTTCAAACACTTTTATTAATACTTACTAACAAATCAAAGAATTCCATCCCACATACCTCTCGAATCAAATTTTCCGGACTTGATTATATTCCTCTCGAGAAGCTTGTGTGACCAAACCATAAAGGAAAAAAAACTGCGCAAATAAAGCTTATCACCATAGCCCCCCCTCGATGCGGCATGCAAATCGGACGGGAAAATGAATGAATGCACGGAAAATTCAGATTATGCTAGTTCAAACCCCGTCCCCGTCCTAGATGCGCCCGCTGGCTCTACTCTAACCTGCTCTAAGAAGACACTACTGACTGGTCTCAACTCAAACGACGACGACGACGACGAGTTGGTTTCGGGAGATAACCAACCAGGATGAGAATCCGAGAAGGTCACAGGCACAGGAGGACGACTGCAAAGCTATTTCCCTCATCATACCGTCACCGGCAAAGCCATCTCCAGAGCTAGACTAATAAGAGGCGAGGCGAGAAAAGAAGCATCATCGTCGTAGCAAGTCATGAATTTTAAAACGTGCAATCTCTCAAACTGCGACTGCTTGTGTACCTGCCTAGCTGCCATAGTTAGGACTGAGTGGGAAACTACCAACCTGTAGTAGCGATGCACTCTTTTACTTCTGCGCTTGAGGGATTGAGTTTTATGAGGAGCAACTCTTTAGCCACATTTTATCGCGCGGTGTGAAATGGACCCAACCAACAACGGCGATGATGATCCGGCAAACGCGCGGTTTGAAGCAAAATATTCAAATCAGCGCGTTTACTCGCGATCGTGAACCGGAATATAAGTAATCTTGCCTTTTATGTAGTTACACAGGGGGAGAGGGAGTAGGTGGGTAACGAAGTTGGGGCCATCCTCTTTATCGTTAATCGAGATCATGTCAGCGAGCTCACGCCAGCACACCTTTAACAGCGCACCCATGTTTATGAACACGTGTTTGCGGTGCCGGGAAAGCACAAGAAGGAATACAGGAGAATCTCATTAAAATTTTGGTTTTTCCAGTTCAAGTGGAAATGCTCTCCAGCACCTCTCTGGATACAAATACCTACCTAGCCGAGCCGAGATAACAAAGGAGCGAAATGGAATCCCGGTGAAGGAAAAGTCCTTGGAGGGTACTTTGCAATTTACAAGCTATTGTTATGCGGCTTCCGAATCCCATTTCGAGTAAGAGAGAGAGAGAGAGAGACAGAGAGAGACAGAGAAAGAGTGCTAAACAGGAATCAGGAACACCAAAGTAGGCGGTGGAGTCGTTGATTGTCACTACGGTGGCACACGATGGGTTGGATGAATTTTGAATAGTGCAAGAAGTTTGTGAGAATTTTCTCCGAAAACTATTCCGATTTGTGTTCAGTTGAAGGCTATCCACGAAGTTGTTCAGAAATGTATCTACGAATTTTCTTGAAATTGTTTTGAAGAAAAGTAGAATGAAATTCCTCCGGGAATTAACGGGTTGAGGGAATATTCATCCAGGAATTTCACTAAAATTCTTCAATTAATTTCTTACGAAGTCCTCTGGGATTCTAAAAGAACCTTCGGGAAAATTCCCAGAAATATCTTCGACAAATTCCCGGGAGATTTCCGGAAATTTTCCTGTAATTCATGTAGATTTGGACTGTCTTTTCTGATTTTTTTACTCGTTATGTTTTCCCTGAAATCAATTTGGAAATGGACTAGAATTTTCTAAGAAAATCTTGCGTAAATAGGGTGTATTGTATACTACCTTGAAAAACCTAGAAATACCAGGAAAACCGGAAATCATCCGAGCATTATATTTTTTCCAGGAAAAATAAAAATTTCTCTTGAATTCTCCAGAAATTTCCCATGTTTTTTTTTTTGGAAATTTCACATTTCTTGTGGGAATTTCCTTGCGTCACTTCTTGATTTTTTTTATTTAAAACTCGAAAACTCGAAAACACCAAACTCTTTGAAAATGTATGTGAATTTCGGAACGGAATTTCCGTTCAATTCTTCCAACAATTTATACACATTATTTAAGAATCCTGCTGGAATTCCATTTGGAGGATGCTCAAATTAAATTTATTATTTAATTTATTGTTGGGAATGTCCATTGAGTTTCTTCTGAGCAGGCATGGATTGCTCTTTTGGGACTTTTTCATTACTTTTTAATATAGAATTCTTACGTTAAATTCAATACAATTTTCAGTTAACTCATCTTAAAATAGATAGTTTAATGTTAATACTCTTCCTATCTAAATTCAAAATATCCGCACCGCAGAGCCACACTCTGTGTTTTCACTGAAGATTCACTTGAAAGCGCTCTGAAGTTTGTTTTGAAATTATAATAAGAATGTCCTTAAAATTGCTCCGAGATTTTTGTTTTGAAATCCTCCAGAAATTTCTTCTTATAAATGTCTGTTAGAAATTTTTCTGCAATATCTCAAAAGTTATTTTGTAAATATCTCTTCATTCTTCTTAGACAAATAATATTTAAGATGTTCAAATTTAAATTTTTTTTGTGGAAATTTCCTTGAAATTATTCAGGGATTACCTTGAAATTTCTTCAGGAATTTCCTAGAGATTTCTCCAGGAAATTTACTGCAATAATTTTAGGGATTTCCCTGAAGCAATTCCAAAAATTCAGAAATCAAATCAATTCGGAATTTTCCAAAATCTCTCCAAAAATTTCCCTAAACTCCTCGAAGCATTTCCATTGAACAGCCCTGAAAGTTGCCTTAAAATTCCTCCAAAGATTTCCCTAAAGTTTGTCCAGTAATTTTCTTAGATTCCCTGACGATGTTCCTTAATTTATTTTTATAATTCACCTGAAATTCTGCCATGAATTTCCATGAAATTCTTCATATTTTCCCTGAAATTTTCATGAAACTTCTCCAAGAATTCTTCGCATTTTTCTCAGGAAATTTCCTAGAAATTCCCCAGGAATTTCCTTGATACTATCCACATTTTCCCTGAAATTTCCATGAAACTCCTCCAGGAATTCTTCGCATGTTCTTAAAGAATTTTTTCCCCTTAATTGCCTTGCACTCACTCCAGGAATTTCCCTTAAAATTCTGCAAGACAAGCTCTAATGTTAAATAGGAAATTCCATTAAATCCCCCCAAAAATTCTCCATATATTCCTCAGGAAATTTTCTTTTAATGCTCCAGAAATTTCTCCAGGAATTTTACTGCAATACTTTTAGGGATTTCCCTGAAATAATTCCAAAAATTCGGAAATCAAACTATATAGCAATTTTCCTAAAATTCCTCCCACAATTTCAGTAAACTCCTCGATGCATTTCCTTTGAACTCCTCTAAGAATTTCCCTGCAGTTCCTCCACGATTTTCTCAAATGATCCTACAGAAATTTTCTTAAATTCTGTTTAAGTTTATCTGTACTTCTGCCCTGAATTTAATTGAAATTCTACATATTTTCCCTCAAATTTCCATGAAACTTCTTCAAAAATTCGTCGCATTTTCTCAGGAAATTTCCTAGAAATTCCTCAGGAATTTTCTTAATACTATCCGCATTTTCCCTGAAATTTCAATGAAACTCCTCCAGGAATTCTTTGCATGTTTTTTAAGAAATTCTGCCCTTTAATTGCCCTGCAATCACTCCAGAGATTTCCCTCAAAATTCTGCAAGACAAGCTCTGATGTTGAATAGAAAATTCCATTAAATCCCTCCATGAATTCTTCATATTTTCCTCAGGAAATTTTCTTTAAATTACCCAGGAACTATCCAGAAATTTCTCAGAAATTGAACTGCAATACTTTTAGGGATTTCCCTGAAATAATTCCAAAAAATCAGGAATCAAACCATATAGAAATTTTCCTTAAATTCTTCCCACAATTTCAGTAAACTCCTCGTTGCATTTCCTTTTAATTCCTCTGAGAATTTCCCTGCAGTTGCTCCACGATTTTCCCAAATGTTCCTACAGCAATTTCCTTAAATTCCTCAACGATTTTCCTTAGTTTACCTGTAATTCTGCCCTGAATTTCCCTGAAATTCTCCATACTTTCCCTCAAATTTCCATGAAACTTCTCCAAGAATTCTTC